AAAACCACCATCGCCCAGCCAAAATGGCAAACCAACCATCACAAAATTGCATTGGAATCGCGACCCAACTACAGCCACCGCCTGCATCAACCACCGCCAAGTCGCGCCGAAACCCAACCAACCATCGCATCAAAGAACAAAAAAAATAAAGATGAAGAGGGAGATCGCAGGGAGCATCTAAACCCAAACCACCACCGCCCGCTCACAGGGAGATCGCCGTTCACATGGATCGCCGTTCGCAGAAAGAGAGATAGAGAGAGGCGATGACCCAAAATGAAATGGAAAAGGAGAGAAAGAACACGTTTTGGTTTTTTTTTATTTTCGAAAACAATTTTTCAAAATGCTAAAAAGAACACATTTTCAATAATCTCAAAATGGACACTCAAAACACAAAACACAAAATGAATTCAAAACTCAAAATACAAAACTGAGATACAAAGAGAACGGCCCCATAATGGTTTGAAAACAACTTAATCTTCAAATTTTTCTGAACAATCTGAAGACAACAGTTCTTTTAAATTATTTGGAATAGTTCGAAGGCAATCGAGTCTTCAAGTTCTTATGAATGGTTTGAAGGCAATTGTGTTGTTATATTCTTCTAAATAGTTTGATGGATATTGAATCAAAATTCTTCTAAACATTCGGAAGGCAATCATGTGATTAAATTCTTCTCAACTTCTTGATGTCAGTTTAAATTCTTTCAAATAGTCTAAAGGTAACAAAGACGTAATGTTCTCTTCCAAATGGTTTGAAGGACAACGTGTTCATCTTATTTCTTTTGGTATACCATGTTTGATCTTCATCTCCTTCAAGATCAATGCTTCTGTGAGCCTTGAACTTTTTGAGCAGTATGTTGGACTTAGCGGTAGATCTTAGTTTTGTCCACCTTTTATATCTCCTGAGAAATGTTAGGGTCATTGAACTTGGTTTGAAATATTAGTTTTGTAATGTTGGAATTATAATTTATATTATCACTTAATTTGCCTCCCACAACTCTACAATCCCGGCTCCACCCCTGAGCTGGTGTATACAAGTTTTTGTCACTGAAACCATCCTGATTACATTACAACTTTCTGATTATCTAATGCATGCTTTCTTCATATATAATACTATCCCTATATCTCAGTAGATAGCATAAGATACATAATTTATGATGCTTCGACTTTTAATACTGTCCATCCAGTGCGGTACAACATATCTTATCGAATGAGTCAATCTAGTCCTTAGACTAAAGCTTTGTCAATATCTTTTGCCTCCATTTCAACAGCAACAATACTACTTCCAGTCCCCTTGTACCTATACCACTTGGCACAAACAAGAAAGTAGCACAAATTTAAGCCACACAAAATAGCAATAAGGTAATAAAAATAATCCAATCTTCCTTTGTTGAGATCTTCAGGCAGCCAATTTCCAGTTGACGATCCTTCAGTTGTTCTATGCACTAATGCAATCAAGAAACTATTCAAATAACTTGCTGCAGCCATCCCACAAAAGAAAAATGATCCAGCAATACTTCTCATATTTTCTGGGAACTGTTTATAGTAAAATTCAACTTGTCCAATGGCTGCAAATGCCTCTGCTAGTCCTGCTAAAGATAGTTGTGGAACCAACCATAGTGCCGACATAGGCGAAATGTCCCCTCGTTTGGAATGAACTCCTGGGATTGGCCTGGTTATCGCCAAATTTCGTCGATGTTGTTCGACCAAGCCTGCCACGATTGACTCGAGTACTGTAAAAAATATCCCGATTCCCATTCGTTGAAGGATGGTTATACCACCTTCTTTCTTCGTAACCTTTCGAAGAAACGGGACGACGAGTCGGTCGTATATAGGTACCCAAATGCTGAGAGTTAACATGGAGAATATACCATAAGTTGCTGGCGGGATTTGAAAATCTGTACTGCCAAGGTGCCTGTTGGATTGCATTGCTTGGAAGACTATGTATTGTTGTTTTTCACCAACATGGTATAGAATGGCTGCAGCCCATATGGGAATTACACGCAGTACACATTTTACTTCTTCTACTTGCTGCATGCTGCAGAGTCTCCAAGGATGGGCAGCTGTTCCATCTGGTTTGATTTGGTCTTCTGGTGTTACAATTGCAGCTCTGTCAAGACATCTGATAATATATGATGACTTAGATTAGTATATGCTATCTTTTGAACTTGTTGGAAAATCACAAACCAGATACCACATTATCAAATATCTTGTATTTTTATAGAATGAGCAGATTTAAGAATCTTACACTGTACTAATGTAAACAAATAGTTGTGAAAAGGTTTGTTTTTTATTTTCTACAGGTAGGGCAGGGAAGTAGTTCGAGCTGATGACTTGCACTTACTAGGAATTTCTCGATAGTGTAGCATGCGTACAACCAAGAATGTCTAAAGGCATTACAAATGTGTTATTGCCTCGAACTTCTACGACCTAAAAGGCTGTAGTTCCTATCAGAATTAGACCTTGGAGGGGTACCTCTGCATAGCTAATTAGTCGACTGAGGTCTCATTCAATAGAATTAATCAGCAAATCGCTAAATCGCTCCAATAATAAGGACCGACATCCATCACAACCACAAAATCAAGAAAAATCTATCCATCTATCAATCTTTACTATGTGAGGACTTGGTAAGCTTGCATTATTAGTCTCCAACCTATTGACCTTGAAACTTTAATCTTAACTTATTTTTCTGGATAGCACTATCCTAAACTTTTTAATTTTATAAAGACATTAGTCTCAATTGAATTCCAGTCCATTTGATTGTTAACAACACACTTCTGATGGATAAAGGAGGCATTGGAGGAATGTGGCCGTGCAAAAGGGTAGGAGGTGGTGTTTTACTAATGTTTTCTTTTCTTCTTTTTTCAGTCGCTCACTGCAGCAGTCGCCCTATATAACACGCATATGTCAAGTGTGTATTTGATGTATTAAATGTGGTAAAAAAACTACCACATTAATGCATCAAATAACTACATGTTATGTGTGTGCCACATAGGGCGACTGCTGCAGTGATCGACTGCTGCAGTGAATGACTACAAGTAGCATTACTCTTTCGATAGATTAGATACCATTTTCTCTTATTTAAAGCAAAAGGATACTAAACCCTTGTTTGATCTTCATCTTGAAGAAAAAAAAGTATTTTGAAATAGTGATTTTTTTTTTTTTAGAATGTGGGGTTAAAAAATAAAAAAGTTATCGATTTACATGCAATATTATTTAATTAAATAATGTGTGATTAAAAATGAGTTTTGAAAAAAAAAATGAATATTCATAAGAATATAGCTCAAGGGCTAATTTTTTTTCTTTTCAATCGATTCCTACCTACTTGAATTTAGCCAGCCTTTTTCTCATTCTCTAGAAAAAAATTGAAATTATTGAAGTGGGGTGGTTGGACCGTAATAGAAACGTGATTGCCGTGGCAGGTTGGGCATGTAAAGTAAACGTCACATCTATAATAAAATGACAGTCAAAGCCAGTCAATAGTCTCCCCCCTTTTCTCCTTTTTATTTCGGGTCCCGACATGAGAAAATAATTTTACGGTGTATGAAGATAAAAATATCAACTTTTACACTATTTTTCTTGAAAGTTTTAATCTTATTACGTGAAGACATATTAAATGATAAATTCTTCACCCGGTTAAAGATGAAAGTATTAATCAATAGACGAGTGCTTGAACTACTGCTAGTAACAAAATTGATATCTTTAAGATGAAGCTATAAATCTAAGGTAGTTCAAAGCTTATCAATTTTCATCGCCTTAGAAAATAAAATTTTCATTAGTGATCTAGACAATCAACGTTCGTCTATGGTTTGTGTGGTTATTGAAGAAGGGATTGACGGCTTCACAATGGTATGCAAATCCGGTGGTGGTGGAGGAGGATGGCCGGAGTTTAGAAGGTTGGCAGTGGCTGCTCCATTGTTTTGGTAGAAGAGGGTTGGAAATGGAAGAGAT